TTTGATGTGTTTGTGTGTATTCTAAGGTAAAATAGTGTCGTCAAAAGATAAGGGATCGAACGTCGACCTAAAAAGCATTTGAAAGATAGCCCATGAGCTTCATGTCAACCCCCATGGTTCATAGACACACACGCGCGCACACACACCCCCCAGCAGGCTAAGATCAAGCCCAGCAACGAATGGATTAGCAGATTCTGAATAAAGGGAATTTCTGCCTTTTTTGTGATGGACGGAATGTGGTGTGAATGTTTGGATGGTTGATGATTGTGTAAGGTAGCTTTTTATGGTTTTTGTCTGGATGAAGGAATTATTTTGTGTTGGATAACCATGTAAATTGACTATGATTTTGTATGGATAGTTATGATAATGTTTTGGTAGCTTTTGAGTTGGAATGTGATGTGAATGTTTGGGAGGTTGTATATGGTCAGATTTGATGTTTTTGTCTAGATGAAGGAATTATTTTGTGTTGGATAGCCATGTAAACTTTTTGTCTTATAATGTAATTATAGCCTTCATCTTGCAATCAAGTTTCCACTCGTTTTCAATTAAATAAACCAAATAAGAGTAAAATGTATCAAGTACTACCCATTTATAAATGCTAAAACTTTTACAACAAACTTAAAAATTGGAAGATTAACTTAAAAATGCTAAAAGTCTACGAGAGAAGAAACAGATTGGACGATTAACTTATCAATTGAAAAACAGCAAATGTCTTACAACATACTAAATTTTAGTCTGTCAAATAGTTAGAACAAATTCAATCAACTATTCCATTTCCTTTCCTGTTATCCTCCATAACTTAATTTTCCTTGCGCATGGTTATGTTGATGGATATCTCGATATCTTTTTCTTCTATTATTTGAGCACATGTCCTGAACATACGCGATAGGTCTTGACATGAATATTTAGCTTTACAATTACACAAACAAACAAAACTCGATTCACAAGACACTGTTCATCATCCTTCCACTTGAAATGACCACGATCTTTAGTACAACATAAGAATAACTTTCCTATGTTTCAGGTATTTTTCTCTAACTCCATGCATTTCTCGAAGCTTTTGCCGCATTTTGGATAGAATTTCTTTGTTGGGCAGTCCCACAAGTACTGCCCAGGCTTCCTACAACTATGCTAGATGCCCTTGTTCTTCCCTACCAAAACGCTTTATAAAGAGGAAAGACGTACACTGTAATTAGAATCCAAACATGCAACATATATAATCGGAAGCAATAATTTGATGTGAACATTTGATAACATTTCTTAGTCATCTCAGCATCGAACATAATTAAATTTTTCTTCATCCATGAACATTAAAAAATGGCTTCCTTTGATTGGACATGATTACTGTATTTTTCATCAAAACAAATGTCAAAAATATTAGGATAAAAAATGTTTCTCCATATTCTCCAAAATGATAAACATGGAAATTGTTTCCTATATATTAGTTCTCTTGGCTTTGACGATTTTGAATTCAAATATCCATACAATACTTACAGCATAAATTATGGTGCATAAATATCTTCTTCCACATTTATCTAATCAATCAAGCAATTCAAACAGAAATTACCCTCTTCGGTGCTTGAATCTTGAGTTGAGTTTTAGACACTGACTTTTATCGTTGATTTTCTCCTTTGCTGATGTTGCGGAGTTGAAGAGAAGCAATTTTCCCAAATTGATTTCTAGGGTTTGGGAGGAAATTAATATGATTTTGGGCAATTAGGGCTTGTCGATTTGAAGAAGGTGGTTTTCAATTTTATGATGAAATCGTGTTTTTCATGTAACAACTCTTCATGTGGCAACGTTATCACATTGTCTCTTGCTACGTCGGAGTCTGTCTAAGCATATGGGATGCATATGAAACGGGTGTATGCATAGTGATGGATGGAGTGGATTTTTAATATGTTGAATGACCACTCATGGTAAAAACAAAGTTCAGTGGCTATAACATGACAGTAATCAAAGTTCAGTGAGTGCTCAAACTTTTTACCCTACAAAATAGAGTTCTTTTTATTTATTCTATTTATTTTTTAGTATAGTATTCCAACGAAAAAAGTTATTTATTCTCAAATTAGACGAGTTAGAATCAACTAAACCCTCAATTAGACTAACTTTAGGGTTGTTAAACGGACTAAGCTAGGTCGCTTGATTGATCTACCATGCAAGTTGACTCCCACTTGCTTGTGATGCCATGAATCATCTAAGTTGCCCACCCTCTATATTTGGAGCCCTATAATACAAATCGTGTCAAAATTGACCTCTCTACATTGTCGCAAACGACAATGACCCTAAAAGAGTGACAAGCCATTAGTGGCCTACTGGTAGCATCATATTTAATTGATGGTGAGGCATCTGATACCTTGTGCATTATTTTATATTTATGCAAACCTCTTTAGAAGATTTGGGAATCGGGATTTTTAGATGTCATTTTTCGTTTTTTTTTCTTTTTTTTGGTTCTAACCAAAGTAGAATACATGTAAAGGATGTCGAGTCATCAACACACAAAAGGTAACGAAAGAAAATTTATAGAAAATTAACTCAAGATTACCTAGAACAAAGTCCAAGCTTGAAACAAGCACTTTTGGGCATTAAAAAATTTGCCCGAAAGAGGAAGAGATCTTTTACTAAAAACAATTACAAAAGTGAAAAATGTAGGGCAACAATTTGCCTTCATAAGTAAATATGTGACACTCCCACGATTTGAAGGTCCAATTTGAACCATCCAAAAGTGAAGTAACTCGTCCCTTTGAGCGTTAGTGGACAAAGATGGGAAGTTAAAATTCATAGCCTAGATTCACCCATTGCCTCACATGCACGTCATGCATGTCCCAGTTGGTGGTTGTAATGATGACTTTAGCATTTCGTGCAACGTAACACCATAAACATTGCTTTGGGCTCTATATCTCCCTGTACGATTTTTCCCCCGTCTCTAGAGAATTTCCATATATCTAGGCTAGTTCACCCATTTGGAAACTTACCTCAAGTCACAATCCTAATATTAATGATATAGTACTAGTGTAAGACTTGCTGGGCTATTATTTTTATAATTGGACAATAGAGCCATGTAATAAAGGCCTCATCCCAAGCAAAGCTCATTGAAAGAGATCACGACGCCCACCACACGATCGACTTTTGACAAAAACAAAGATATCTAATAAAGCCTATACACTTCAACAACTTTATAGTTTTTAAGCCAAAATACATGACCGTTAAGTCCTACATCTAACATGAATATTAGAGTCGGACTTGAAGGATTATTGTTACATCTCAAATGTGTGTACAGGTCATGCAAGTACCACTTGCAAAAGAATTCTACATAGGCTAACAATGCTAACTATGTGTCAATCCCATTCACTCTCCATGCTCTTTGCCTAATTGGAATGGTGCAAGCTGGCCTAGGAGCTTTGATCTCGACAATACAACATCATCCCTATTGGGGTTCTACTTTGTTTTCATTTTGCATGGTTTATATTCAGGAATATTTTTGAATTTTGTCTATTGAATTGTGTCAACTTATTTTGGAATGAGTTCGAAATGATTCATGTTATATGGAATGATTTTTGAATTGTGTGTATAGATTGGGTCTGGAATAATTCTATCCAATTTGACTTGTACTTGTTGAATTGTATTTTATTGGAATTGCATATTAGTATTGACTATCAATTGTATGTTTTTCCTTCACATTACTTGAATTGATTATTTAAATTGTTTGTTTGTATCAAATACACTGCAAATTCTTTAAAACTAAATTTGAGTTTTCTTGTAATGAGCAAAATATTAATAAAAGGAATGTTTGAAATAAAATGGATGGAAATGATCAGCAAAATATTAATGTAAGAATATTCTTTAAAAGTAAATATACTTAGGTTAAGTATGAATTATTCAATAATCAATAACAAAGCATTCGATCTATACAGGTCTGATTGTGCTCCCCTGAACTAAAATATTTTGTATCCTCCACAGTGTGCCCTTCCTATATCCAATTTCTTATATTTCTCATATCTATAGTTGCTTGATTGTTGGAATACCAACAATCTTCAATCCCTTTCCTAGTACGGTGATCTAGGTGCTTAACGTTTTACGCCCAAGTGTGCTGGTAAAATATGCATTGATAGGAGATTAAAGATTTGTTGACAATGAAGTCTGTGAACTTTTCAAGTTTTCGACAACATATATCTTGTTGGAAATGACAATTTGAAAACGACATGATTTTACTGCCAAACACATCCTAGATTATTCCATAATATTCCAATTCAAAATCTCACAATTTCCATGTTTTAAGCGGCTTACTTTTAGCCTTAGCTTTTGATTTATACATGTTGATTTCAACCAAATCAAATAAACTACAATAATCTACTCTCGAGTACAAATGTTCAGCCTTTAAACTCCCATAAATAAATGACGAGTTCCGCATAAATAATTGGTCAAGACCAATATTTTTAAAACCAATCTCCAACAACTTCTATGAACTAAGGCCGAAAACATCGAAAAACAAGCTATTTACAATCGATAATAAATAATTCTTTGAAAATTCCAATTTGATTTCATCAACGCGTCACGAACAATCTCAATGTGCTTGCGCTTTCATTTGTTCAATCAATAGGTTAGCTCTTATATTTAATCCGAAATATACTATTTATTTTTAAACATCGATTTACATGACCGCGAAATCCTTAATATGAATAGGCATTATTCATTTGATATTCATAATTAAAGAACAAAAGTCATTTAATAAAAAATTATTAGCAAATTCATGTATTTTTAGTTTTTGTGCAATTAAGTGCTTGTTCACAAATCTTTATTAACAGATTAAATTTCAATTTTAACTATACGTTTCATTTGATTCATATCTTACCTCAAATTTTCAATCAGATAATAAATTAGACTTTTAGCAAAATTTATTAAGATTTTTATAAAAGAATTCGTCAAACAAAAGTAATGTCTTATGTGTCGAAAGAAGTAATGTTTAATGCTAAACGTGCTGTCCTTCTTCATAGGATTCCCACCTTCCCAAAGAGCCACTCAAGGAAAGTTTGTTGCACCAACAAATAAAATAAAAAAACTCATAAACACAGCAGTAACATTTCACGAAAACTCTAATTCTCTTTATTCTTCATCTTCATCTTTCTATTGTCTTTCTCTGTGTCACTACATGCAGTGTTGCAATGGTTCCCGCCATTCCCCTTTCCCAATAGAATCCTAACTCTACTCTCTTCTTCAGGTAAATTCGCCAATTAAAGAACTTTGAATTTTTCCGTAATTTAATGAGGAAAAAGTTTTGATTTTGTTAATTTTCTGACCTTTTTATTTGATCGGTGGATCTGCGTAGGGATAACTAGTTACTATACCCTTTGGAGAAGTGGTTTGTGTTTAAAGCTCAGAATTTATGTCCCAGAATCAATCAAGGGCTGAAGGGAACCAGTCTGCGCAGAACAGGAAATTCAGCCGATCCGGTAGCTCAAATCAGCAGCGCCACTTCTCAGGAAACAGCTCTAATAAGGGCGGAGGAGCAACCGCCCTTTCCTCCAGTGGCAGGTACTCCCTAATATTTTTTAAGTTAATGAAAACTAGGTTTTCTTCTATGTACAAGCTACGTGTAAGGGGACTTGTGTGAATTAATATAGTAAATTTGGGTCTGATGTTGTTTTGTTTAATTTATACGCGTAAACTAGGGTTGTGTTGTTTTAAGTTTGTATGATGGATATTTTTTTTTTCTTTCGTTTTTGAGAATTCAGTTTTAAGAAGTATAATAATAATGCAAAAGGAGGGCAATCTAGGGCAGGAACAGTGAGTTCAGATTCCAATTCTTCATCCGAAGCTCGTGCTACACAGAATGGTGGTAATCAACGGCAGCAGAACAGTGGTATGTGATGAGACTCCTCTTCCAGTTTAAACCTTATTTAAATTTTCTTGGAATGGCGTTGGTTGAAGTGATTTTTGTTTCTTATTTTCGCTACAAGTTTCTGATGCATTGCAGTTTTCTTCCTTCTATTCGGGTTTGCTGTAGGAATATACAATGCACCAGTTTCAAGTACAAGTGAAAATTTCAAACCCGCCAATGCCCCACCTCAAAAAGTCACACAAGCTGTTCCGAGAGGTCCTTCTTCGAATGTTTCTACTGTTCAGTCTCATGTTTCGACTGCCAGTTCTGATTTCAAGGCCCCTACAACGCCTGCAAAGGGTATGAGAAACTGTTTTTCACATTCATTTCTAGCTGTGGAAGTAATTTTTGTTTCTCTGTGGATACTGAGTCACTTCATTTCTTGTATATTACTATAACTAATATATGCAATTTTTACTGTCCATAATCATAAATGATAGTTTTTATGGTGTTTTTGGGTGCAGGAGATACATCCGAGTCATTTCCCCTACAATTTGGGTCCATAAGCCCTGGTTTTATGAATGGAATTCAGGTAACTGTCACTGCATGAAGAGCATTGTTCTCTGTATTTCCTTTCTTTTCTCATGTGATTTCTTGTATTCTCATTCCTAAGGACGAAAGGTTTTTTTTACTGTTGTGTTTTAGATACCTGCTCGAACAAGCTCTGCGCCACCAAATTTGGATGAGCAGAAAAGAGATCAGGTTTGTTGTTTTTTGTTTTTGTTTTTGTTTTGTCTGTTTGTTTAGCTGCATAGCATAGAGTTGCTTTTATCTGCTAAGAGATTAGAGTCTCACACTGTCATTTTCTTGTGCTAGAAAGATTAAAACAAAATAATATTATACTGGAAGGGAAGAATATGTTATGAAGGGAAAGGAAGGATATTGTGACTTGTGAGGATATAAATCATTTAATCCTCGTTTGGATGATCAGAGGAAAAGGAAGACTGCTACTAGGAAGAAAAAAGGGAAGAAAACTGAAATTAAATTCTTCTGCTTCCTGTCTTTTTCTCTCTACTCTCCAAATAGAGAAGTGAGAACTCTCTTTCTGTCATTTCTGTTTGTGTGAAGTCTGAACAGTCTGTTAGATTTGATGCTGTATGCTTTTATTTAGGCATCAATTTATGGTAGTAGCCAGTAGCATCTCAAAACGTATCCTTTTGTTAGCAAAAATTTTGGTGAACATGAGCATGCATTTTTAAGTTGACAACCACCCTAGAAGCATCTTTTGGCAATCAGTGCTTAGTTGTTATTAGTGGACCTAGTGCTGCAATTACCTTTTTTAGGTCCTATTGCTGTTTTTGTTTCTGTATTCCTGATTTATCCCCTAGTTCTATTCACATTATACGCCGTGGTAATGGTAGCAATTATTTATAATTGTTGTTACCCACTAAATTTTGGCATTCGCTTTCGTGATTCTTTTCCTACAGGCTCGTCATGACTCTTTAAGAGCTACACCTGCAATGCCTACTCCATCCATACCCAAACAGCAATTGCCAAAGAAGGATGCATGGGTTTCTGACCAACCTAAGGCTGGTGAAGCTCAGTCAGTGTCCAAATTGAGGAGGGATGCTCAAGTTTCATCTGCACCTCCTTTGAACCAAGTTCAGAGGCCTTCTGCACATCCTATGCCTGGGATGTCCATGCAAATACCATTTCACCAACCACACGTTCCAGTTCAATTTGGTGGCCCCAATCCCCAAATTCAGTCTCAAGCCATGATAAGCACATCATTGCCAATGTCTATACCTATGGCTTTACCTTTGGGAAATTCACCAGTGCAGCAGCCAATGTTTGTTTCAGGTCTTCCGCCACACCCTATGCAGTCTCAAGGAATGATGCATCGGGGACAGAGCTTGAACTTTTCATCTGCAATGGGTCCTCAGCTTCCTCATTTAGGTAACATGGGAATTAATGTGGCCCAACAATTTCCTCATCAGCAGGCAGGACAATATGCTAGTCCTTGTAGAACTGTAAAGATTACTCATCCAAAGACTCATGAAGAATTGAGACTTGGTGGATCACCTGTTCCGAGGTCAAATCCTAATGTGCCACCTCAAGCGCAACCTATTCCATCATTTTCTCCTCATAATCCAATGAACTATTATCCTAATTCATATAATTCCAGTCATGTCTTTTATCTTGCTCCAAACTCTGTTCCTATGAACAGTACCCAAGCTCCTCAGCCACCAAGGTTCTATAATCAGGTTAAGGTCAGCGAGTTCTTCCTGTGCTTATCTGACTTTCTTTTGATGTAAATCCATGCCTTTGACATGGCATTGCACAGGTTCGGTAATAACCTTACTTCTTTGCCTCGTTAATTTTCAGCAGGTGATAGTGAAACCACCGGGCATGTCTCATGGTGAGAAAGATCCATCACCATCTGCAAGTTTGCTTTCTGTTGGAAAGGGAGAATATTTAAAACATTCAAGGCCACATGGAGAACATTCAGTTGGTCCACAGAACGGAGTTGAGTCTTCATCGTCAATTTCTTTGCAGCAATCAAAGCCTGGTTTAGGAACGTCATCTACAGCAGTTCCCATAGACAGTGAAGAACCTGCTGCAGTGTCAGGCTCTGTCACTGTGGAGAGTGCATTGCTCAGTACTTCTGTGACGGGCACCATTGATGTTTCAGCATCATTGTCAGCCAACTCTGCTGAAGAAGCTGAAAAGGAAGCAGTTGTCAGGCCTGTATCCATTAAAGATAAACAGAAAAAAGCAGGCGACAGAGACCAGCTGGATCAAGTATATTATTGCTTGTTTGTTGATCCAATTTTATATAGATCCTTCAATGAGCAAGTTTACCATTATCTCTGTAGGCATAATTTTTCATTAATTTCTGCAGGTTGGTAAGCAATCTTCCTCTGTTTCAAGTTTACCTTCGCAATTGCGAAAACCTGAACCTGGGGAAGCTAAAGTCATTTCATTCGGAGCTATCCCGGTATTGGAAGCTGCAAAAGAGTCATTTTCGGTAACTACTATGGCAGCTTCAGAGCCTGTGGAAGGCAATACAAATGATTCATCTGAAGTACTGGGCATAGAATCTACAATGAGTAGGCAATCAAGGCCTGAGAAAGTGGGTATAAATGAACAAGTGGTAGTAAAAAGTTCTGAGAGTTCCAAACCTAAGTGTAGTTTGGAGACATCTTTAAAGTCTCCTTCCTTAAAGCCTTCTGAAATCTTTGGGTATAATAAAGAGAGTTCTTCTCAGGACGTAACATCCACCGGTTGTGGAGATTGTTCGGTAGAAACTGTAGAGGGAAAACTGGAAGAATCTTTGCATTGTCACTTTGATGATGCTAGTGTGTCAGATGATTTAGTTACACCTACTTGGGTACTGGATGGTGCGAATGCCAAAAGTTCTGTTTCAGTGATAGGTGCATCTGCTGCTCATTATGATAGCAACTGTACTTTAGATGCTTCTTTCAGTGGGCCGGACAGCATAGATCCTAAAGAAACCACTGTTACAAACTCTGCTGCATCAAGCCAAGAGTTTTCTCCCATTTCAATTCCATCTCCTCCTGAGGGTGTTCTAAAACTCGAAAATGAAGATACTGAGAATATCAGTAGTGGCTTGCTTCCTTCGTCACCTGGTTTCCAGGTGAAAGTCTTCTCAGAGTCTGTGGCAAGAAGTACCGTGACTGGAGCGAAGAAAAAAAAAGATTTATATCGAAAAGCTGAAGCTGCCGGTACAAGTTCTGATCTTTATACGGCATATGAGGGTCCTGAGGAAAAGAAAGAAAATGTAACTGCTGCAGAAAGCGCAGAAAACACTACAAGAGAGGGTACGAAGCAGACATTGAATAATGTGACTCTGAATAAAGTTACGCCAAATGTGAAACCTTCTCTGAGCAAGGCAGAGCCAGATGATTGGGAAGATGCTGTGGACATCTCTACTCCGAAGTTAGAAACTATAAAGAATGAAAGTGAGATTAATGGTGCAGATGACAATGGATTGACGACTAAAAAATATTCCCGCGATTTCCTCCTCAAGTTTGCAGCACAATGCACCAATCTTCCTGAGGGTTTTGAAGTCACTACTGAAATAGATAATGCATTGCTGGTTTCAGGTGATGGTGTTTTACGTGAGTCACACCCTAGTCCTGGACGAAATACTGACAGGCCAATCGGGGGATCTAGATCAGATCGTCGTGGAAATGCCATGGCTGGTGATGACAAGCGGAATAAATTACCAGGGCCTCTTATGTCAGTGCGAGGGGATATGCAGATGGATATTGGTTATTTAGGTAATGTGGGGTTTCGACCTGGACAAAGTGGTATTAATGGTGTTCCGAGGAATCCACGCCTGCAGACACCTGGTCAATACACAGGGGGTATCTTTCCTGGGCCTATGCATTCCCCAGGTATGCAGGGAGATGTGCAAAGAAATAACTCCGATTCTGATAGGTGGCAGCGTGGAACTGCTTTTCAGAGGGGTTTAATGCATTTTCCTCAGACACCATTACAGGTGATGCACAAAGCTGAGAAGAAATATGAAGTAGGTAAAGTGACGGATGAAGAACAAGCCAAGCAGAGGCAGTTGAAAGCTATCCTAAACAAGCTTACTCCCCAGAACTTTGAAAAACTATTTGAGCAAGTTAAGCAGGTCAACATTGACAATGTTATTACGCTCTCTGGGGTGATCTCACAGATATTTGATAAAGCTCTCACGGAACCCACCTTCTGTGAGATGTATGCTAACTTCTGCTTTCACCTTTCTGCGGAGTTACCTGATCTGAGCATAGAAAATGAAAGAATAACTTTCAAGAGATTACTCCTGAACAAGTGTCAGATAGAATTTGAGAGAGGAGAAAGAGAAGAAGAGGAGGCAAATAAAGCTGATGAGGAAGGTGAAGATAAACAGTCAGAAGGGGAAAGGGAGGAGAAGAGACTCAGGGCACGAAGACGCATGTTGGGTAATATAAGATTAATTGGAGAACTATACAAGAAGAGAATGCTTACAGAGAGAATAATGCACGAGTGCATAAAGAAGTTATTGGGTCAGTATCAAAATCCTGATGAAGAAGATGTTGAAGCATTATGCAAATTGATGAGCACAATAGGTGAGATAATAGATCATCCCAAAGCAAAGGAGCACATGGATGCTTATTTTGACATTATGGCGCAGATGTCAAGTAACATGAAACTGTCTTCCAGGGTAAGATTCATGCTTAAAGATGCAATTGATCTGAGAAAGAATAAGTGGCAGCAGAGGAGGAAAGTTGAAGGTCCGAAAAAGATTGAAGAGGTGCACAGAGATGCCGCACAAGAACGGCAGACGCAAGCTGGCAGGCTTGCTCGTGTTCCGAGTATTGGCACATCTGTTAGAAGAGGTCCATCTATGGATTTTGCTCCCAGAGGTTCTAATATGTTTTCTCCTAATTCTCAGACAGGTGGTTTCCGTGCTGTTCCCTCGCAGATCCGTGGTTATGTTTCGCAGGATGCACAGTTGGAGGAGAGACATTCCTTTGAGAACAGGACCATTTCTGTTCCTTTGCCTCAAAGACCCCTTGGAGATGATTCCATAACCCTTGGGCCCCAAGGTGGTCTTGCTAGGGGAATGGCTTTCAGAGGGCAGCCAACAGCACCTAGCATTCATTCAGCTGAGATGCCAAGTTCAGGAGATGCACCAAGGATGGAATCTGGTCTAAATGGATTCAGTTCTATGCCTGAACGGACAACTTATGGTAATAGAGAAGATCTCATGTCAAAACACATGCCCGTCAGGTTTGCTAGTCCGACTATTTACGGCCAATCACATCAACAAGAGTGGAATATGACCAATGAGAATAGAGATATTAGAAATATAGATCGCAACTTTGATAGATCTCTTGAATCTACACCTACACAGGGTGGGCCGATAAATTCGATGCAGGCCTTGCCAGAAAAGCACTTGCATGACATGTCCTTGGCTGCAATTAAAGAATTCTACAGGTATAATTTTGTCTCATTCCAGACGTTGTATAGTCTTACAATGTTTAGATTTTCAACTACAAACATAAACGTTAATAGGGAATACTAATCAAAAAGGAAAATACATGATTACATGATAATCATTCCTTCCTTTAGCCTCTAGTCATAGTGAATGGAAGATGCTAAATTGTTCGATTTCTTGTTTCCATCTCTCATACTGTTTCGTTGAATTCAGCCAATAATGACCTCCTTTGTGGACAAACTTCTTCCTTTCATGTAACTTTCATTGCTTCTGCATCTTCATGTTTGTGTCAAGGGAGTAATATAGAGGTTGGTTGTGGGGCCTGTGGTTCTATAGTTGACCAAAAGATTCCTTTTGACGTATGCTTGATTCAGCTTAATGGACAAATTTATCATCATGTCTAAGAAATTATCTGACATTATGCTATGTTTAATTGTGACTATATCAATAATATTGTTCACTGTCAAAACTACTATATTTTTAGTTGGTTTGTACAATCAAAATTCCTGAGTAACTGGCTATGTCATTCTAGGATTTTCTGCAATTTTTAACTGTGCAACATGAAATTTTTTAAAAGCCTTCGTGTGTGTGTGTGTTGACATGTTGAATCGGTTGTATTATTGATATTTGGTATTATGAAGTTTTTATGGTTAAACTTGAGGCCTTATTATTATTACCATCCAAATGCAATTGGATTGGCCTATGGAAATATATCATCTACTTATCAAGCAATGTAAATTCATGGATGAGTGGCTCCTTATGCCGAAGTTAGTGAAAATATCATCTCGCGAGGACATAATCTTGTGAAGTGAGAAACAAACATCTCACAAGGAGAGAAATAAACATCTCGCGAGGTGAGGACCAGGCATCTTGCAAGGCAAGAAATTTACATTTAACTAGGTGAGGAATAAACATATCGGAGGAGGGGAACAAGCATTTTTGCAAAGCTAGGAATAGGCATCCAGCGTGGTGAGGAATATGCATTTCCCATGGTAGGCAATAGGCATCTCATTAGATGAGGAATAAACGTCCCGTGTGATGGAAAACATATAATAAGAATTTCCCGAGCTAGCCTCGAAGAGCCAGGAATTATGAATTCTATTTTAATAACAAGATAATTACGAGCGAAAGGTCGCCTTCAATAGTTAAATAATCAGGAACTGGCTTTGTTTGGAATCTTAATGAATGAATGAATAAAATGATTCCAGCACGTATCTTAATTCCCACCCCAAGTAATTATATGTAATAATCCCACCAACTTTGCATTTGGCAACCTGGAAGCGAGTTTAAAAAAAATCAAATTCCGGGAAAATTAATTGAAATTTCAATGATCCCTTTTTCGATATCATCACTCCTTTAGTTGTTGTCCTAGACTTGACTCTCATTATACAACAGCGAGTTTGCTCAATACTTCATAGGTGAGGCAAAAAGGTAAAGTTGGCAGGGAAATATTTAAATCGACCATCTTTTACAGGTTCGGATTGAAACATATTCTTGCACAGGTTTGGATTGCTGTGTTTCAAAATGATCCAATATTTACTTATCTTCAAGATGTCACCATTTCCCCCAGTTTGGGGAGGGAGGTTTTTCTTTGTATTTGGCTCTCTGTGGCTTGATCGACTTGGTTGAAATACTCTTGTTCATGGTTGTTAACTTTTTGGGGGTATTTTGTGTTATTTATTGACTTCATTATTTTCCCCTGTTTTGGGGAGGTTTTCCTTTGGTTTTGGCTATATGCCCCTATTTGTTTCCCATTATTTCCCCATTAAAATGAAAAATATGACCGTTATCTATCACATCAAGCCACCATATTCGACTTTCTATTTCTTGTGTAGAGCCCGTAACGAATATATTTTTCATTCTCATTCTTACATTAATGTGGCTCAAACGGGGCCTATGTGTGATTTTGCCCAAGGTTCCGGTCCTTCTGGATATCGGAGAATTTTGTTTAAGAGACTAATTTACAACATAAGAATAAAAAGGGAAATTTTGTCAATATGGAACTAACCTAACAAATTTTGTACCTTTTTTTCCACATGTGGTGGTCTATTAAGATATTTAACACATTTTGCATTTTGAGGGGTCCAAGATTACAATTTTCTATGTCATGCATGTCCATAAATAGTCTCTTTCCATTGTTTTTGTCCCATCGATTCCATTTTTCCTTGTATAGCTTACAGGTCATGTTTTTTAGGCAATTTAGATAGGTCTTGATTTTCAATTTCTACTGCTTGATTATAATTTATTTCCCTTCAATGATATTTTGGGTTTATTACTTTATTACACTAAAAAGTGCACAGAGAATAATATATTGCTCTTTTCTCTTCATTACTTTTGGCTTCGTAGTGACTAGCCACAGAACTGAATTGGGTGAAGGGAAGGAGTATGAAAATTCTATCTGATACTTGTTTATTTTGATTGATTCAGTTATTTTGATATGGTTAACGTAGATTGTACCTTCCCTTGTTTTTCCAAGGTTCTTTTCTTCACAAACCTTATTTATTCGGGGTTGATATTAAAAGTGAGTATTTATGTTTTCAGTGCAAATGATGTGAACGAGGTTGCTTTGTGCATCAAGGAATTAAGAGCTCCTAGCTTTTATCCATCGATGATCTCCATCTGGATTTCCGATTCATTTGAAAGGAAGGACATGGAGAGAGATCTCTTGACAGAGCTCCTTATTAATCTTGCAAAACCTCGAGATGGCATGTTAAGTCGGGATCAATTAATCAAAGGGTATGCTTTCTCCTGTTTGTGCTTAGTACATTTGTATTCATTTCGACACTCTTTGACTTGTTTCTGTCCATATTTCCCTCAACAGATTCGAATCTGTTCTTGCTGGGCTGGAAGATGCTGTCAATGATGCCCCCAGGGCAGCAGAGTTTCTTGGCCGTATCTTTGCCAAAGTCATATTAGATGACATCGTTCCATTTTCTGAAATTGGACGGTTGATATATGAAGGTGGGGAAGAGCAAGGTCGTCTTATTGAAATAGGGCTTGCAGCAGAAGTCCTTGGTACTATCTTGGAGAAGATCAAATCTGAAAAAGGTGATTCTGCACTGAGTGAGATCTGTTCCAGCTCTGATCTACAGCTTGAAAACTTCAGGCCTCCCGGTTCTAACAAATCTTGGAGAATAGACAAGTTCCTCTAGAAGACACCGATGCTCATTGTATCTGGTGAAGAAAAAATCATCTCCCTTTTTTTTTTAATTATCACCGTTTTAAATTGACAAAGAAATATTATTCTGGGCAGATGGGTATTTATGTAACCATGTTTTGACATTGCTTACTGAAATAGCTAGAGGTTCGACTGAGCAACTGATTATTCTTTTCAAGTATCTCAGCTTTACATCCTCTGCTCGGACCCTTTCTATACTATCTATACTATGTTATTTATGAGTGCGTTCTTGGGTCGAAGTTCGTTATTTCTTTTTTTGGATGATTGAAGGTGAAAGGCTTCTTTCTTGTTTACATATACTGAAGTACATGGATGATTGTTTTGGATGTCGTGCTCTTAAAATTTTAAAAAGAATCATACTACAAGTACATTCTTGTGTACACTTTTTCTTACACTGTCACATGGTACCATCGTTCCCTTTGGTTTTTCCAACAATTTTTCTCTTTCTTGCCCAGATTATGTCACATATGGGAGAGTGTAGGGGAAGATGTGCACATGAATGTACAATTCGCATAATTGTTTTAAAAAGGTATAAAGTTTATCGTTAGGAGCCAAATCTCCAACATTAATCTTGGGATTTGTTAATTCCATCTTGGGATTTGTTAGTTCCAAATGTTGTATTGAATCCTTCCACGTGCCGGATGTCTATTGTGCCGAGCCTCAGGCAACTGCGATATGAGGATGCAAGATTGAGTCGATAATAATGAATAATATCTAATGAAATTATAAGTTAAAATTCAATTTACTTAATATTGTAAGACATAATTCATATATATAGTCAAGACTTGTTTGACACGTGATAAATTAAATTTAACGGATATACACACACACACACACTGCACACCATATCATGCTCTACTTAAAGCTCTACACCTTAAGTAGCTCATGACATTATATTGTGCAATGCTCCACAAGTTGGCGTCAAGTATCGCCCCTATTTAAAAAGCAATAATTTAAATTGTGTGTGATGTTCATATTTTAGTAGATCAAAAGAGAATTTGAAACTTTAAAAGGGAAATAGTTGAGTTTAATAGAAGAAAATACTCGAGTCTTTTTCGTCAAGTTCTTTAGGATATTTTGTTCAATTAAGGGCTTGTTTTGGAGAGATTCTTTTAAGTGAAAATATTTTTATGAAGAATACGTGGTTAAGAAATAAGAAAAATCACGAATCTCATAAAATATGTGGTAAAAAATGATTTTGAGAAAAAATTGAAAAAATTTTCCCCTGACAACCTCTAATCATCCTAAAAAGGCATCAATATGCCCCCAGGGCACTTCTCCACTGGCAAAGGACGGACGCTGTCAAACCTGGCAGAGCAGAGGTCGTGAGTTCGAAACATGGGGCTCTTGGAAGGCAAGGATTTATTCTTGGAAGGCAAGAGAACATTTGGAAGGCAAGGATTTATTCTTGGAAGGCAAGTGGGAACTTGGAAGGCAAGGATTATTCTTGGAAGGCAAGGTGCAACTTGGATTGGCTTGCTTGGCACTTTGTCAGACCAGGTGGGGAGCGCTCGTACCCTGGCCAGTTGGAGGCACATCCTGCGATTAACCGGACTGTGTGAAGAGGGGCCGGATCACAGACCCAAAGATTAGTCTAGAATAGGACACCTTGTAAAAAAAAAAAAAAAAAAAAAAAGGCACATGTTCAATTAAGCTCTTGTTTTGGAGAGATTCTTTTAAGTGAAAATATTTTTATGAAGAATACGTGGTTATAAGAAAAATCACGAATCTCATAAAATATGTGGTGAAAAATGATTTTGAGAAAAAATTGAAAAAATTTTCCCCTAGCAACCTCTAATCATCCTAAAAAGGCATCAATATGGGATATTTGGGTATAAAAAAAAAAAAAGAAAAAAAAAAGGCATCAATATGATTGGAGGCTTGCAAGTTGCAATTTAGCAGCTAGACACTCTTAAAGCCGTCTTCATTGACTTTTTACATGTATTGCAAAATTTTTATAAAACTCCCGTTTGGTAATAATTTGTCACATCAAAAAATCAATTTTTTGACCGTTATTTAACAATTTCAAACGTTATATTTGACTTCTTCACTCATAGGTACGACTCAAATTTTTCTCTGACGATCAAAAAATTAATTCTCATAATCACTACCGAACATACCCTAGAACTTTTCTCATGAGGTTAATTCGAAGAGGCCTCAGTTTTATTTCATATTTGATTTTGTTAGATATTGCTCAAATTAATAGTGAGGAATGATGTTTGAAGTGATGGAAGTAGTCAACCAGGAGTGTTAACACCCCGATTTTTGTTTAATAAGAAAGAAAGTATATTTTATAATATTTCCAAAAAAAAAAAAAAGGGAATAAAATATGGTTACCTTGGAAAATTAAAGGTCATATTAGAATTTAATATAACTAATGATGTTTATAATGACAATTAAGTTTACTCAACTCATAAATTTTTAATTTATCTCCAAAAACGTTTTAATTGAATTATTTTATAATTGAAGTCCTTTGATTGGATTGGGAGTTACATTTCAAAATTATAACTATAGGGTTTAAGGTGAATGTGTTTTGCCTCAAAAAATGTATAAGTTCATTTTCATACAAAAATTTGTTTCCTTTTTGTTATACCATCAATTCAAGTCACAATTTTAGAATTTTGGTGACAATTGAGGTAAGAATACATGGTGCAAGTGGTAAATTCTTATTTCTTGATATACATGTAAATTCTGGCATGAGATACTATAAGACCTTCTGGTCGAATGCAAAGAAGTGAAATCCTTCGGGATGAACCGTCAGGTCAAAGAAAAGATATTAAATCGTACGGGATATAGGAATTCTTAAGAAATTCCTTGAGCTCTAAATCTAAGAAATGTTGATCTATTATGTCAATTTTATATTTATATCATGTGAATAAGGATGTGCACGTATTCTTACTGAGTATTTTCAAAATACTCACTCTCACAATATTTCCAGATGAGAACAGATCGTGTGGACGTGTGGAAGATTGACAGAGCGATGCTAATGGGTTCGTCAAGTAAATTTCCTAGAAAGATGATTGTCAAACTTTTATTTGTAGAACATTTTCATATTGAATTTTGTGCACATTGTTTAGTAGCTATTTTTATGCATTTTCAACATTTAATGAAAGTGATATTTTTTCTTAAATTAGACAAATAAGATATTGGTAGCACCTCGAGCTTATTTTAATTTAAAAATAATATAATAATATGAAAAGGAGTTCGGGGCGTTACAGAATGGTATCAGAGCACGAGTTTAGTCGATTCTGTAGACTCGTCGTTTTTTATTTAAAGTATATATATTTCTTCATCATGTTCAAATGTGATTTATGTGTATAAATTTTCCCTTAAAATGATAATTTATTTTATTTAGTAGTTTGCATGTTAAAAAAAAAGTAATTTTGGGTAGAAAACAAAAAAATATAATAATTGATTCAATGGATTAGCTACTTCAAGTTCCGAAATTTTTAATGCTCAAAACTGTTGGTTGGCTCATTTTACTTGCATTTGTAATTTGTTTTAACTTTTAACTACCCTAGAATTAAGAATTTGCTGAAGTGAAATGAGCGTAAGTTTGTTATTGCAATTGTGCAAAAAGAGATGAAAATTGTGTTTTGCAATCTGTCGTATTTTTAAGTTGGACTTTTTCGTTTGGATTGCCTTTTGTTTTAAGTGGAACCAGGGAAACTAGTTATTTAATGTTTGAACTACAATGTCTATCACCTTTCAAATAAAGTGCTTAGAAATTACCCCGGTGATCTTGGTTCTCTATGTTGCTAAAAATTTTAGATTTATTCTTTAATATTGCTTCTAATTCTCGAATTAGATAGACACTGAATTTTAATTCTTCTACCACTTCAAATTTAGGAAGTGGATAAAATATGTGCTCATTGTTCAATTATTATAGTTTTCTGGTAAAAAAAAAAAGTAATTAATTTCTAAAGTAGATTAAATAATTTTACTCTAGTGGTTTCAATATAACTTGTTGAAAAAAATGATTTCTACTTATGGTGAGTGCTTGTCTACTTGTTTATATATTTTTACTTTTGTATGAGATTTTCACTAAACAAGTATTTAAAATAAGACCCATGGCGTTTAGCGCTCGTCAATCTACTACCGTCCGATGAACCGAAGGTATGAACGAAATATTATGTTTAAGCTTAATTTCAAGCATGATTTATTAATCATTTAAGCTTGGTTCCATGAAATGCTCATGATGTTAATGTTAGAATGAAATGTGTTACGCAAGTTATTTTTGTACATGAAGATATGGCGACTAGTAATTTTATTAAAGATACAATAGCAGAATGTATAAGTTGATTGACAAAGATAGCGCATAATTGAACATTTATGTGATATACATGGTGGAACTTATCATACCACTAGAAAGATCAGAGCCCAGATCTATTTTTCTGGATATTGAAAATTATTATTATTTTTTTATATTTTTCGCCGTCATATATAACATAAATTTCGTTACGTGAATTATGTGCAAAATTTCTAGTCCCAACATTTAGATGATTTAACTTAGACCATGCATTATGATTTTGTAAATAGAAATATATATATATATTTCCTATTCTGTTGAATTGTTACGATTATAACATGTGAAAATTTATTGAATTTATGTTGAATAAACTGTCAAAAATTTAGTTTCTAAAAAAAAAAAATGTTATATTAATATTTTCAAAAGGAGACTTAATTGCATGGTTAATAGAAGGTAATTGTCCCTTCCTAAATGTAAATTTTTACGTGCCTAAACATAAATTTTTATGTGACATTAGTATTAATGAATTTATATCATTTTTACCAACCTCCTACAAGGTTCATAGTAGTTAAATATTTTGAATTGTTGGGAAGTGTGCGAAAAACCTAATTATAGAATTTCAGTCTTGATATGGATTAGTAGTGTGGTGTCATAAGAAAATTAGTAAACCTAAACGATGACAATCCTAAGTACCGAAATATATATATATATATTGTAAAAATAAGACCCATGACATTTAACGCTCGATCTACTACTGTCCGATTGACTCAAGGTATGGAGGAAATGTTACATTTCATTTTATTTTCAAGCGTGACTTTATGTATCATTTAAGCTTGAATTCTATGAAATGATTATAAATGAATGTCTAGAAAGAAATATGTTATGCATGCTATTATACATGAAGGTATATTGATTAGAAATTCTATTAAAATCACAAGAGCTAACATGTACTTTGATATCACTACAAAAATAAAT